ACACACACACACACACACACACACACACACACACGTCAATTTATATCCAATATCTTCTTTCCCATAATTATCCACCCATCAGTAAGGCACAGAAATTTGGGATTGTGCCAGTTTGCATCTCCCCATCTTCCATCTGCAGTACATTACCATTGTCTAGCTCTGCCGTACAAACAATCTAAGGCCAGTTTTTCTGAGTTATCCTATTTCCAACACTTCATTCCCAGCCTTTCCTTCTCCATGTTATCTTCCCTTGTTGAACTTCAGTCGGCATGGAAGGGCACATCTTGGCCACCAATCACCTCATAGTCCTGAAGACTGGAAGTGCTGGATAACTGCAACCAACAAAGGAATTGAAGACACTGATATGATCTCACCCCACTCCTGGTGTTGTCTGATGGCATAAGTCCAGTTAAATGTCTGGCTGATGGGAGATCTTTGCTTCTCTATTCCCATTTAAACATCACCCATCTTCTTTGCCTTATTTTTTTCCTGAAAACTACAGTCAGACACAGCAATGCCTTCATGCTTTACTTTATAATGTGTGTTTACTTTACAACGTCCTTGCACTTTACTCTGCTTATTCCAAGTTTGAAGGTTCGTTTCCATTCCTGCTGTGTGATCAGATTTTACAAAATTTACAAAATTGTCTGACCATCATATGGAACTTTTGGATTTCACTTTGTATAAGAAAGTTTGTTCTCGGGAATTTCTCATTTATGCCTGTTGCTTCTATTTCAACATACGGTATAATAACAACAAAAATATCTACTGACTCAATTCTGATAGTAGCTAAATCATTATACCATCATAGTATAAATAATTAACCATGCCTTTCAAGCTGAGCAGTGAAGTCCAGACTTCAGGACATGAATCTCTCTGAATCCTGTAGGGAATGTTCTCTGGAAAATAAAATTCACAGATACTTGAGTCCTTTATTGATACAATGATGTGCTGTTTATAAGTAACCTGTGCACACACTCCTTGAATCATAAATCATTAGTACATTGTTTCTAATACCTAATGACATAAATACTAGTAACATATCATTATATTGTATCACTGTGAGGTATAACACCAAATTAAGTTAATAGTAAGTCTAATTGCATGTAGTATAAACTATGATACACTTTCTTGTTACCATATATTTTATTTCAGATGCAAATAGTTTTATTTAAAAGATATTATATAGAAGATATATTATAAAAGCATAGATCAGAATAAAGTCCTGATATATGCATTGTGGTGAAATTTGGAAAGGTACTTTGGACTAAAATGGCCTTAACATAAAAAATTTGTTTACTTTATCAGTCACTATGTGAGCTATGGTTAACTGACTGGCACCATTAATGCTTGTCATTATTATCATATACCTCTTATTGATATGATATGTACACTTTAAATCTTAAAATACAGCAATATTATCACACCATTTTGAAAGAATATTATTTCAAAATTGAAAACTGACATATATAAACTAATAAAGGTATACCCCAACATCTGAAAGAACTGGCAAACAAATTTTAATATCTTCTCCGTTGATAAGTTGTGATTTTCACATACATTTGAGTTAGAATCAGTGAAATAATTTCTGTGTGTGTGAGGGCAGAAAGTAGATGACACCAAGATTTGAAAATGTTATGACAAAGATATATGCCTCCTTATGATTTCCTGGGTGTCTACATAAGCCTTGAAACTTGCTGCATAATTGTCATTGGTCTTAATTAATAATCAGATGATATCAACATTCTTGTCAAAAGCTTTTCATGATTTCCCATTGGCTAATTAATTAATTTTGAACTGAATCTGGCATTCATCAAAGATCCAAGGCATATTGTGTGACACATTTGCTGTTCCTTCTGAAGATGGATTCAATATAGATTTTTGTTTTTTAGCATTTTCTTTTTGAATGCTATCCATATACCTGGCATTTTTCTACCTCCTTGGCCCTTTACAATACAGACTTTACTTAGACTTCCTCTTTTATCATGAATTGCTGTTTTTCCAGCATATTTGAGGATCTACATTAAATGCTTTCTTTGCACAAATATTTCCTGATATTATAAACATTTTTATCCTAAATTTGTGTGTCATTTAACTTGTTTATGATTCTGTACTAGATACTTATCAAATGAGCAATTTGACAATAAGGATCATATGGTATTTATCTCTATAATTTTCCTACCATAGCATTTTTATTATAATAAGTGCTCCCTATGTCTATAACACAGAGATAGAGCTGTTTCAGTGTAGATCAGTTAGTATTAACAATGACTTGGATTTGATCATCAACACTGAAATGCATTAATAATTTGGCTTGTTTGATGAACAATATAAGACAATGAATTCTTTAAGGAAAAATTTCAAAGTTTAAGTGGAATTTAAGATCTTTAAACTTACCATTTTTATTTGGAGAAAACACATATAAAAGGTTCAAAAATGGTGTCAGAAATACTTAATGCCTAGAAATATAAAAGCTTTCTAATGTTGAATCATGTTCCAAAATAAATTCAAATAAATAAAAGATTTAATTGACAAATTCATATAAAAAAACATGGAGGTGTCTTTGCTTACTTTCTATTGATGTGATAATACAGCATTAAAGGGTTTATTCAGCTTACAACTCTCAGGCCACACACTCTATCACCTGGGGAAGTGAGGGCAAGAACCTAAGCAGGGACCTGGAAGCAGAAACTGAAGCAGAGAGAGTGGAGGAATGCTGCTGACTGACTTGATCCACATAGCTCACTCAGTTTGTCATATACAACCCCATCATAACTGCCCTGGGGTGGCCCAGCTGGTGGTGTGCTGGGCCTTCCCACATTAACCATTAATCAAGAGAATACCCCATAGATTTGTTTACACACAATCTTACGAAAACATCCTTTTTTCAATTAAGATTCCAACTTAACAGATACGTGTAAGTGTGTGTAAAGTTTATAAAATCCAACCAACACGGGAACTCAGTTTAACATAGTTCATGATTTTACAAATACAAAGGAAAAATATCATTCCTATCAAACGAGTCCTAATTAAATTGAAAAATTAAACAATTTAATATTTGATATTTGAAATAAGACATAGTATTATATGTCTAAATACAAATAAATCCTGAAAAAATCACCCCAGGGAAAACAAGCATATGATATGTGAAACTTGGAGGGACAAATTTACCCAAAGATAGGTAAAATTATTATTATATAAAAACATTGAACTCTACAAATGATAGCGACTATTCTAAAAAGCCAAATGATTTCCTGCCATTTTAATCTTGATTTTACATTGTTTCTGATGAAAGAAATTTAATATTACCCAAAACACTTCTATTTGAATATTATGGCTATACCTGCATTGCTGCTTTCTTCTGTAAACAGCTGCCCAAGACACACTCTCACCAGTACCAATCATTTTCACGCTTCCTTTCTTTTGGAAGGTTTGATACTTTGATAATTATAAGTGGCCTGGAGAAAGCAGGAGGGTTTAAGAATTAACAATACATCAAAGAGCTAATTTTGTTTGTCACTGGATCACTGGTGTTCATGAATTCAAAGAATGCATACAGTCATGCACACAGCAAACATTTAAATACCTCACCTTATAAATGAAAGCCGTATATTCATATTAATTTTGGGCTCCTGTAGTATTGAAAATGTCACAGTGACTTTCATATAAAATATTTCAAAGATGAAGTTCTATTTTCTAAACATTGATAATAAATTGTTTGGCATGTGGCATCCTGTTCACTGATTATTGTTTTCAGATTTCTTTATGAAAAAAAATCTATTTAGGGTTCTTTGTTCTCCAAGGGTCTAGTAATGCCTAAGAATAGTTGACAGCAAAAATAAAGCACTGGTCATGAACTCTATCATATAATGGGCCATTATTTCAGCAGCTAAAAGAAGGGGAAAGAGACACATTGCCAAATCCTAAGAATTTTCCATCCTTGAGCAACAAAGAGGGAAGAAGACCAGGACATGGGAAATTTGGAGCCCAAATGCACTCATCAGTCTTCTGTTGCTGGTTTAATCTACAGCTCTAGTCAGAACTGCGATATTGGCATCTTAAAACTGCTATGAAAGTCAGTCCTAATTTTGCATATACACAAACTATCACATGTAGAAATAGCAATGAATCATTGAAATAAATATGATATCCAATTTGATCGTAGTAATATTTTCACAATTAATTTACAAAATATCATGATGTATACCTTGGATATTTGCAACTTTACTTGTTTATATCACCAATGCTGGCAGCTGGAGACTATCTTTTCAATTAGCAATCATTACATCTCTCTTTCCTGATATGTGTCAGTCAATGTGTGGAGCAAAAGAAAGCATCAGAAGCGAGATGTGATTGATACACCCTCATCATTGTTTCAGAGCTCTGTGTTACCATTTTATTAGGATGTCAAATCTTCATTTTTCTTTATTATTTTCTTCTATTTTTGAGATTATAATATAATTATATCATTCCTGCTTCCCTTCCTTCCCTCTGTACCCTCCAGTATACCTTTTCTTGCTCTCCTTCAAATTCATTCTCTTTTTTCGTTAGTTGTTTTTACATGCATGCATACAAACAACACACACACACACACACACACATTCCTATATATAACCTGCTCAGTTAGTCTGTATAGTGTTACTTTTATGAACAACTTAGATTTCTTTAAAGATTTATCTTAATTTTATTATGTATGTATTCATGTTTGGTTGAATTTATGTATGTGTAGCACATTTATGTCTGGTGCGTATAGTGAAAAGAGCGCTACAGATGCCCTGGAAGTGGAATTATTAACATTTGTGAGCACATCTGTGAGTACTGGGAACCAAACCCAGGTCCTCTGTAAGAGCAAGTGTTCTTCACCACTGAACCATCTTTCCACTGGCAGAATGACACAAATCTTTTTAGTAGGTGATATAGCCACATTACACATATAGTCATTACATTTGTGATTCCAAACAATTTAATGCATTATCCTATTTCAGTCATCTTATACAAACCTCAAGATTAGAGCTGTCATAGTGATGCAGGTCACGATTCTGGCACTGATGATACTCAGACAGGAGGATCCTGAGTTTGAAGCATGTATGGGGTACATAGTGAAACTCTGTTTACAAAAATGTAAAATAAATAAATAAGTAAGTAAATAAGCAAACACATGCAAAAGTCACAAAATCAAACAAAGTAACAAGGAAGCAAACGAACAAGGAAACATGATAATGGACAGTACCGACTTACAGGGTTGATCCAAGGAAACAAAACAAGTTGTTCTTATGAATATTAGTGCTGTCTTCATTGAAAAATACTAATGTTTTCCTTTGTACTCTCACAGAGATGCATAATTAACCAAAAGCAGTTACAAATTTAGTGAAAACAGAACTATCTGATGGACTCCAAAAACACACACAGCAGTTCTAGTCTCTGTTTGTCTTTCTACCACCACCTTGGCTCTCAGTGGAATACTAGTTATGCTGGGGGAATTACCAAATAACTTTCAGGCATTTTAAAATACTAAATAGCATTTATGATAAATATTTTCTCATTATTACCCGTTGCCACCGTGTGGACATTTACATGTGCCCCTACACCAGGAAGCCAAGGAGTGAATTGCACTGCCACCATCTGTCATAGTCAATTCGCAGACCAGGGACAAAGAGAAGAGCTACACCTCATGACCATGAACTCACAAAGCCCTTCAAGTTTTTTTCTCTAATTAAATCTTGAGCTGAAGTATGTGTGTTTATGGTACCAATGGATTTGTCTAATCCCAATCAACAGCATCCCAGAAAGTTACCATATCTGGAGGATGTTCATGTTCCCAAACTGTGAGTCAGGTTGACTCTCTTGATGGATCCTAAGGTGAATCTGAAAGAACAAGTGACAGACCCTAGGTTAATCACATCCGTGAATGATCATGTGGTGCATTTTGTATTGCTCATATACTAAGTAATAATTTTAATGTTTAGCTTATTTCAATTCTAATAGTGTATATATTATAAGACATAATTTGTAAGAACAAAGGTTTTTGAAGTCCTTGAGGCATCCTTTAGAATATGAAGACCTTGAAAATTAGCCATAAGACAACAGATAATGACTTTTTTAAAAAGGCCTTGGGCGGTATGAATAAACATAAGGTTAAATTTACTCCCTTCCTTTCATTGTAGAGTTGAGTTCCAGGAAACTTGATAGAAGCCAGACTTCCTCCAAGCACCTTCTGAGTGATTGGCAGTGTGAGCTTTCATGAGTCTCCCTGTGACTTCTCTATGAAGACTTTCTAAATACTAATTTCTCCTTTTGTGAATTTTCTCTGCTTATTTTCTATCAGGCAACTTACCACTTAATTAAATGTGGATTTCCATTGCTCACTATGGAACTTTAATTTTCCTTTCACCTTAGTACTTTCTGGTTCTTGTTTCCAAAGTTGCATTATAATGAACTCAGTGGGGAGAGATCGTGGTCTGGTCTTCCTTTGAAGACACTTTACCTTCAAAACGTCTTATGGAGTACTGAAACAGCATTTGATCTTAATTGTGAGCAAGAAAATACCAGTGGTCGAGTAAATTACAAGTGTATAAATAAATAACCTCTGGTTCTTTAAACTGCTTGCTATCACCACAAATATGCATAGTGCAGTTGTTTCTACTCCATATATTTGTAAGCTGCATGCAGAAATTAAAACTCACTTCTTTTACATAACATCATGATTCTTATAGTATTTCATATCTGCAATATTTTCATTTTATTTGGTTCCAAAGCTCCAGGACGTATACTTTGGCATATTTACATGCAGTAGTCTGTGTTAACCAGGACTTGGTGGATATATATTAAATATCTAAACTGTACATATTTATAAACTGTAGTCAGGAGGCTACGATCCAAGAATTGCCACTGAAGGCATTGGAACTAATTTTGTTTTGATAATATTGAAATGACTTAATAGTAAACTGTCTAGTAAAATCAGCCTTGGTATTTAATGTCTGTGTATTGGTTAGAAGTAGCATCTGGGTAAACAGAATATCTTATGCAGTATGCATATATTAAGACTATTGAGGCCCAAACCTTACACTCTTTGGATTGGATACATGAAACAATCTGATAATGGAGAATCCAAACAGAAAATGTGGCTTGAGTTAGAAGTTGAGATCTCTCTTGCTGCTAAGACACCTTTTTTCTCCTTTTAGTCCATGATGATTATTGCCTCTTTTCCCTGTGAAAGTCCACCTGCCAGCACCATTCCATCTCAAGTTGGAGGCAGAGGAGCAAGACTCTTTCTGTTGTACTATTAAACATGGGATATGCAAAAGAGTTTCTTTTCTAGAGTTAGCCTGTAATCACATATGATCAGTCATGTATTTTACATTATTTTTTACATACAAGTTTCCTTTGCTAACACTAATGAGTAATTTTCACTTGCTACACCCACCTAAATTTGCATGCAGTAATAAGCCATTTCTTCCTATGTAGAATTTTCTAGAACTTCAATCAAAACATTTAAAAGGGAAATAAAAATATTGGAGCAAGACCCATACCTACAGGATGACTGAACACAGAAAGCAAACTCCAAAAAGAGACATTAACCTTTAGAAAAATCTTTAAAGAAGTTATAATGGAAATAATGAAAGCTCACACAGCCAATGCAAATTTTAGGAGACACAGAGGCTTCCTTCTGATTCAGGAAGTGTTTGAAGGAAGTCTGGCTTCTCTCAAGTTTCCTGGAAGTTAACTCTACCGGGAAAGTGATGATGTTGATTGTTATGTTAATTAACATGGCCATATATTTACAGAGTTGTATATCTTACCAAGCACATTCCAGAAGCTATTTAACTACATTTAGTAATTAAAAAAAAAGTTTTATGGCCAGACAGTATTTCTTGTTAATCCAAAACTTTAAAATATTTCCCATGCACGTATTGTTGTGTTGAGTGGTAATCAAACTGCAGTCACGGAAGTGTGCATTCATAGTGCCTGTTATTCACCTTATGTTCCCCACGTACATTACGGATAAGATGACAAATCAGAAGTGACACAGGTGGGCTAAATCAGGTAAAACTTTCTAAATATTACTGTAAAATGACACCCAATTAATTTTACATTATACTTAATAAACAGACAAAAAAATACTGCCACCCATAGAAAGGTAATAAATTGTTATTTAGGTAAACATACATCTATAATCTATGAAATCAGTAATTAAATGGGAACTGAAATGTTCTTACATGTTTGCACACCATAAAATTGCAGTATTTTAGCACACAGTAATTAATTCATATTTAACACACACTCCTGTATGCTTGATTAAATGTCAATTAGGTGCCTGTGTGTGAAAAAATCAGCCATCACAAATTTGTGGCAATATTAACATAAATATAACAATTTTTTCCTGTTAAAACTTTTTATATTGGTCTAAATGTCTACTCCAGTTCAATTTTTAACATTTCTTGGCATTATCATATAAAATCTAAAACTGAATTCATGAAATAATTCCAGACAAATGTCAATATCAAGTGCTATAACAAAAGGAAAAAAAGTTTTCTGACTAATAGGACATACTTTTTGATGAATTTATACATTTAATTATTTTGTTTCCTCATACCTGTAACTACGTTTTTACCATAATTATTTTATCCATGTCTTCCTTTTAATGATCAGCAATTTGCCTCTGTAGAAATTTTTCTTGATTATATCTTATACACAATTTGTATCAATACTGATCAATAAACATTGTATTTATTATATACCTATATAACACAAATCTTAAATGGTCTTATTATTAAAAAACTTGATACCAGCTATTGAAGTAAATTCTGAAATATCAGAGGGACAGAACAACCCACAGCTAACTTCACCTTGCCAACTCCTCAGCTGATCCTGTATTGTAGCTGACGTTTTCTCCAATCCTACCCAGTTCCACAGATCCTGCAGCCACTTATAGAATAATCACTCAGAAGCTTATATTAATTAAAACTGCTTGGCCATTAGCTCAAGCTTACCACTGACTAGCTCTTACACTTAAACTCAGCCAATTTCTGTTAATCTATATGTTGCTACGTGTTCTGTGGCTTTACCTGTGTGCCTGATACATGCTGCTCCCTGGATGGCCGGCTGGTGTCTGCTGACTCAGCCAACCACTTCCCAGAATTCTCCTTGTCTGTTTGCCCCACCTATATTTCCTGCCTGGCAACTGGCCAATCAGCGTTTCATTTATCAACCAATCAGAGCGACACACTCACAGCATACAGAGTATCCCACTGTACAGTTTTGTCAAATTGGAAGCCTCTGTGTCCTCACCTGAATGGATCTCAGCTGAACTGCTGCTAAGAGTCTAAAAGCTTAAAAGCTCTAGCTCCTGGTCCCCATGTCTTATATACCTTTCTTCTCTGCCATCTAATTTGTTCTCTCTGTCCAGCTACATACTTCCTCTTCCTGCCCAGCTCTGTCACTTCCTGTCTGTACAGACCTCCAGACCTCCGTGGTTAACTAGTGTTGGAATTTAAGGCATGCGCACTATGCATGGATCTGTTCCCAGTGTGGCCTTGAACTTACATAGATCCAGACAGATCCCTGCCTGCCAAGTAATAGGATTAAAGGACTGTGCTACTATTGTCTGACTTCTATATAATGGCTGGCTGTTTCCTCTGATGTCCAGGCAAATTTTATTGGGAGACACAGTATATTGGGAGACACAATACATCACCACCTAACTATTTTCAATCATACATGTATTCTGAAAGATTAATATTTCTTCCAGATAATTAAATATAAATAAGGCTGGGTCATATAATTTCCTTGATTTATCTATCATTATTAAATCTCTTTGGAAAAGGATATGCATGAGTGTGTGTGTGTGTGTGTGTGTGTGTGTGTGTGTGTGTGTGTGATCAATAAATGTAATGAAAGGACATAATGGGTCAGGCTCAGTGGAGGGTGTTTATTCTTGTTGTAGAGGACCCAGACTCAGTTCAGAGAATTACTACTAGTCATCTATAACTCCATTTCTGGGGCATCAAATACTACCTTTTGTCCTTCACAGAATCTTGAATGCATGTGGTACACATACACTAACAGACTCATAGACATACACGTACTTTTAAAAATAATTGTATTAATTAATTAATTAAAATTACAAATATTAAGAGGGGCAGGGACATGAGCAAACCCTTACTGACATTTTGATTATGAAATTGTTGCTCATGTGCCTCATTGTTAAATTTGTCTCTAGTTAAAATAGCTCCATTAAAATAATCATATGATGATCCATGGCAGGAAAAAGCTGTCAATAACCTGTGACAATGACATCTTCATGGGAAAAGCTCATAAGTCCAGACACTTAGGAATGTTGTTATACCTTTTAAAATGAAGACTGGAATCCAGAGAGTTGTAATAAATGGACACAAACACACACACACACACACACACACACATCTTTGGATCATTCAATCATACTATCAAGTGTAGGTAATACAGCAAGAGCATTTCTACCATTTCCCCCACTTTGACCTCTGTATGAGCATCAACCATCTCATCTTTCTATAATTTATAAATCATATAATCTCCCTTGGAGATGAGAAAAAATATATCATTTTATATTATTTTTCTTAGAAGACTTCCCTATACAGATAGACTCAGAAATGTCCTTGAGTGCCTTGTGATAAGTAGGTATTTTACTAGAAGACACTTGCAGATTAAGAAGGTTGTATTATAGTAGATTGTAATATTCTATATTTAGCACATTTAAACCACATCAATAAGCTACTAGTTTTCACAAACCAGCAAACCATGTTGAAATAACATTTATGTTTTTGAGATGAATAACTATAAGGTAGATTTTGGGTTAATTTTCAACTGA